GTCGACGGTGGGACTCGATGGTCTTAGAGGTCTTTTCCAACCTTAGTGATTCTATGATTCTAAGTCCCTCAGACTTGCAGGACCTTGCTGCTTCAAGACCAAGCGTATGCAGAAAGAGGTGCTTGTACTTCATGTATTGAAGGTGTCGAATGATACTGAGCCGATAAACGTCTCTAAATACCTGTCCACCGCCTGAAGTCCGTGCCGTGTACGTGCAAAGAGGACAGAGCCTGCTCTGAAGGCTCCAAAGCGCGAAGGCTTTGCTTCAGGCTGTCCCTGCGGGTGACGGAGCAGTTTTGCTGTCTGACAGGCAGGTCACGTGGGAAGTCGTGAACAGAACTTCATGAACTGCAGATTATTTTTGTTTGGGCTTTTTTTTTTTTTGTATTATTTTCTTCTCTCTTTTTCTGCTTCAGTCCCTCAGTAAAGAACGCTGCTGTGGGCGACCTTGCTGCCCGTGTGTGCTGGTGAGTCGCCGCGCTGGTCTGTCCTGGCGGGTCCAACCCCCTGTGAAAAGATAAGTGTCTCAAAAATGCGCATGAGGGATTTGGACCAGCAAATACTTGGCAAGTCAGGGAGCATGATTCAGGGTAAGAATGTGAGTGCACATGTGCGTCCATCTCCCTCCTCTTCTCTCTTCCCTGACTGCTAGGAGGAGCCGTCCCCTGCTCCACAGTAGTGAGCAGTACAGATGAGATTAGTGTGATGTTATTTAACTGCTTAATTACTCTCAGTTTATCCAGTTACTCTTGGGTTAGCAGCAGTTCATGTAGAAGAGAATTTTAAAATCCGGTCTGAAATAACGGGGTACAAACTGGAACTTAGCGCCAAGAGCCTGCGGGGAGGCGCAGAAAGCATCTGCAGGGCCCTGCAGCCGAGCTGCCCCGCAGCCGGGAGAGTCGGGAGGCTCCGCGGGGAGCTGCCAGCAGCATCCTCCGCTCCCCGGCAGAGCTCGGGAGCTTCACAGCGCTTTTTCCCGGCCTCGCCAGAGCGCGGGCCGTGGCTTTCTGTCCTCGTTAGTCCCGTCTCCTTTACAATGCAGCTTTATGTGTTGGTGCTTCTGAGTTTTCAGAGTCCCTCAGGAAGGCGATTTCTTGCCCTGGTTTCTCTTTGTTGCTTTATCTGTGCAGAGGACGAGAAAACAATGTCAGTTCTTCATTCCTGCTTCTGCCACGCAAGCTTCAGTCCCGGTTTGCCCTTGCTGAGCGTACGGAGGGCTGAGGAAGAGATGAGCACCCCGCGCCCTGGGGACCACCGGTCTGTTTGGGTCCTCTGCCTCGCCCTGCCGGTGGGTCGGGCTGCTGCGATGTCCCGGCCGTGCTCCTCTCGCGTGTGTCGCTCCCCGGCAGCTGCTGAGCGGGACCGGACTTGCGGGGTGTCAGGGGTGGTGGGAACAGCCTAAGCTCACCCTCCTGGTGCTCCTCTCTCTCCCTGCTCCGT